CAGGTCCACAACCCCAGTTGCTGGGAAGCAATCCGGTGAACCCTTCATCGTCTTTTTTAACTAAATTGGTGGAACCTTCATTGTTTCTCGTTATTTAATTTTATTAATTTAATCTTTGTAAACTAGTATAATAATTTTAACCGTGTTTTTTTTTGTATAGAATAAACACAACATTGTTATATTGTATTTGGAACGAAGTTCCTTATCGCGCGTTGTGAAAGGGGGCTAGACGGAAAAAATTCTTACGAAAAGTTGTCACGACACTTTTTAGATCCGTCATTCTGACCAATCAACGTGTAGGCGCTTATCGCGTGACATTGCTCGTATCCGATTGGTCCGCGTAATGAGTACAGTTTCTCGAGATAGCGTTTCAACAATAGTAATTTAGTTCATAGTATTGTTTTTTTCTTCTTCATAATGCCGTAATTTATTATTATAACTTTAAAAAAAAATTACAATTCCTTCACTAATTAATCGAAAGGAACTTCGTTCCATCCGGGTGTCCCTTGACACCTCTGAAGTTTTTTTTGTTTTTATTTATTGGTGTGAGTCTGCCAGAGCAATAAGTGGTGGCGCCCTGAGATCCTCCTCACAGAGTCTCCTGTTCACCGTTTGTCTACCGGTGATGACGTCTCTAGAAGTCGTGCGACTCGGCCCCGTGTCTCTTGACCCATAGACCACCTTTTGGGGAGTGACGCGACTGGGCCTCATGTAACATCAGCATATCAGGGGCACCTTTAGACACAGGCACGTTATAAGAATTGGCGTTATGGAATATAAAAATAAATAAAATAGAACATTAAATAATACTAGTGGTCCCGCCGTAGTCGAAATTCGACTATAATAAAAATTTTAATTATAAGTTTGAACATTGTTATGATTCTATTGTCAAAGACTATTTTATACTTCTATAGTCACAGATTTTCGCAAGACTACACTATAGACAAATAATATTAAAGACTAGCGACCCGCCCTCGCTTCGCTTCGGAAACATTAAATTTTATTATTGATAGCTGAGTCCCGCGATGTTATCCGCGAATATCATGGTACCGCGAGTGACGCCGCGGGGCGAAGCTAGTCTAAAAAAGTAGCCTAAGTTACTCCTTATATCATCAGCTACCTATTAGTGAAAGTCTCGTGAAAATCGGTCCAGCCGTTCCAGAGTTTAGCCGGAACAAACAGATAGACAGACAAACAGACAGACAGACCGACAAAAATTGTAAAAATATTATTTTACTTTATTATACATGTAGTAAAAAGCGGTTATTTCAATATTACAAACATACACTCCAATTTTATTTATATGTGTAGATATTGGCTGACGTAAACACGTCATTAGGGATCCTCCCGATCCACAATCGATACTTTTAGATACCTCAAGCGCCAGTCACAGTCCTCGTCGAATCTGTCACTTGCGGCGAAGCGATCGGCGAGCAAACTAACCCTCAGACACAGCCATTGAGTTTCTGCCCGGATCTTCTCAGTGGGTCGTTTTTCCGAAGCACTGCTTTTGCTAGGGCCAGTGTTAGCAACGTCCCAGGTTAGAGCTACTATCAATAAATAGGAAAAATAATAATTAGAAAAATGTGTGCGTGTACTAGTGTACACACGTAAGAAGTGAAACTTGTTTATGGCCTTATTTTTCGAAAAATGATCTACATGCAACTTTCTAGAAATTGGTTAAATAAAGTTAAATTAGATAAAGTTTAAACAAAAGGATTTTATTATCATAGACATGAATACAAATAATACAATTATTTCACTTTACCTTTTTGNCCAGTATTTTTTCCACCCATTAGCAATCCTCTTATTTATTTCCTTGGTTGTTTGGTCTTTAGGGGAGATGATCTGACCCAAGTAGCAATATTCGTCAACATATTCTACTTTTTGTCCATCAATTTCAATGGGCCTTATTTCTGAGTTAGTCATCAATTTCGTTTTTGTTATGTTCATTTTTAACCCCACTTTGGAGCTTTCAGTATTTATGTTTTCTTTATTGATTTAATTTATCTGTTATGCATTATTTTTTAAAAAAAATATAGCATTGTGCACTCCTTCTCTATATTCTCTATAAGTGTGGAAAATTTCATACTCCTCCGTCCACGCAATTTTCGTAAAAAGGGATATAAAGTTTTTGCTTCACGTATTAATATATCGACGCTTGAAAGGCAAACATGACTAAGCGACAATAACTGCTTTATACATACCTAAATGATAGGCAATACCCATATTCGATGCGAAAAAAATATATATTTCTAGGTCTATTAAAATAATTTCAATCCTACAGTTAAGATTCGTTAAAATATAATTTGTTTTCAGTTATTTCAACTTTAAATTAGTCTACTGTAAAGTTCACGCATTGTCGCTTAGTCACGTTTGCCTTTCAAGCGTCGATATAGATTATATCACACTTAAAATTGTAATTATCATTTTACGCAACACCCAACACATTCTAATTTCACAGTCGATTACGTCGGCGGCAGATAATGTTTGTTATAAAAACAATTTTTATAATTGTTTTTGATCACACAACTGGAGGAACACGGTCCGTAAAACAATCACCAGAAGTTAAAATGGCCACCAATATTGTGCTCCTCGTTTGCTTTCAAGTCCTATTAGTTCAGGTAAGGACTTGTTGAAATTTCCTCGTATTTTTTTTTATTGCTTAGGTGAGTGGACGAGCTCACAGCCCACCTGATGTTAAGTGGTTACTGGAGCCCATAGACATCTACAACGTAAATGCGCCACACACCTTGAGATATAAGTTCTAAGGTCTCAATATAGTTACAACGGCTGCCCCACCCTTCAAACCGAAACGCATTACTGCTTCACGGCAGAAAAATAGGCAGGGTGGTGGTACCTACCCGTGCGGACTCACAAGAGGTCCTACCACCAGTAATTACGCAAATTATAATTTTGCGGGTTTGATTTTTATTACACGATGTTATTCCTTCACCGTGGAAGTCAAACATGAACATTTGTTGAGTACGTATTTCATTAGAAAAATTGGTACCCGCCTGCGGGATTCGAACACCGGTGCATCGCTCAACACGAATGCACCGGACGTCTTATCCTTTAGGCCACGACGACTTCAAATCCGTATGATAGTTTGTCTGGGAATTCTCACCGATTTCACGATTGGTTCAATAGAATCCTTAAATTGTACACAGTCGGTGAAGCTAGCATAACCCTAAAAAGGTTACTAGAAATAAGTAGGAAAAATTATTAAATACGGTTTATAAGAACTATTTTTTGAGTCAAAGGTGTTTTATTACTACACTACCCTTATTTTTAAAATATATTATAAAATAATTGACAACCTGCACTGATTGATATATCTCAAGCCGATTCAATTGCGTCATCCGACTTGTGGTGTTGCTTTCTCTGATGATCGAAATGTCTCAGTCGTTATGTATCTCATTAAAGATTCTTCAAAATCCCTGCTTCTGTCAAGAGTCGTGGACCTGGATTTTGAGGAGTCAGAACGTGTTACTGTAGTTTTAATAGTTTTGTTTGCAATTTTCAGACAGCCTTCAGTCAATGCCTTGGCCGTGATCCCCTATTGGGAGGACTGGGCACGTATGGCCCTGGTTGGGGACCTTACGACCCTATTGGCCCGTATGATGGATCGGTCTACGGCGCACCATATTCAGCAGGGTTCATCACTCCTGGCAGCTTGGCTGCATCATGCGGTGGAGGCCTGGCTGTTACGAGCAATTCGCCGATAACTCCCACTGGTCTGACGGTTACCTCTGAGAATTCTATCGAAGGTACCGTCTCTGTGGTGGGACAACTGCCGTTCTTGGGTGCTGTGGCTACTGATGGCGCGTTCCCCACTGCTGGACTTGGGGCTGTGGTGTACGGCTGCGGTGATGGCGCTATTGGAATAGTTTCCGAAGCCCCTATTTCCGCTCCCGGTCCTGTCGGCTATGGCGGATGGCCGGGAGTTGGCTATAAAGGACCCTGTGGATGTGGTGGAATTTATTAAATAAGTGATTGTTAATTGTTACGTTTTTGTAGTTACGTAATAAATCTTTTGTAGAATGTACCTCTTTCTTTTATATTCCAGCTTGTTGAAATATTAGTTGCTCAGTTACTGTAAAGACCAATGGCAGCTTTCTATACAACATATTACCTGATATCTATTTGGGGCGACTTAAAATAAAAAAAATCTTTAACGATAGGGATAACATAGCTTAAACTTAATCAGAAATATTTTTGTTATTAGAAAGCCACAAAAAAAAAAGTGCGCGCGTACAAAGTACACATGTCAGAAATGAAACTTTTTTGGCGAACTAATTTATAAGTCTTGCTTATATTTATACAAATCTAAAACTTTAGATTTCCGAGACTTAGAAAAAGGGAAAAAGGAAGATATGTTCCCGCCAAAAGTCTGTCAAATGTCAATCTCAAACCTCAGTGTTGACAGTCACATTATGTTTAGATTTCTAAATTGTAAATGACTAATATTTTGCCAATTGAATTGACTAATTTAATTTCATGCTATTTGATTAATGTTCCAATTTCTTTTCATTTCATTTCAATTCTTATTAACATTTTTCACAAGAAAAATTATAAAATATTAGGCTGTATGGTATGATACATTTGCCTTTCCAGTTGGAAAAATACAACAACTACTACTACTGACATTTGACAAGTACTTCATTTCAATAGTAGTTTGATGTCACTTCCGTTGCATACCTGCGTGACGTTCTGTAAAAATTTTACCCTCATGCGCCTAAAGAAGTTTCACTTCAAAAAGATATTAACGTTTTTACTTTATAATTTGAGGTTATCTATCAATAATAGATGTATCTGATTTTTGTAGGCATGGATCATAACAAATTGAAAAATAATAAATGATATGTTTACAATGGTTATGGTATGGTTACGATATGTTTACGATAGGCTACACTAGTAATAGTACTCGAGTAGGTACCCTTAGCAATTGCAGAGTTACCTAAGTACTTAAACATATGAAGTTTGTTCTTTCTTCTTTGTAAAAGTGCAAAAATGTGTGTCAGAGATAGGTATTTTTAACCTTTTGAACGCCAAAGTCACATAATATTTGCGACAAACGAAGGTTTGCCCTGTATGCCAAACATTGCAAAACATTGAGGTACAAAATTACCATTCGTCTTTCAGTTCAGCTTAGCTCAAAAACATCGTCTAGTCAAGTCTGATCGCGGTTATCTTACGCAAATATAAAGACACACTGTACATATTATATGATGGATACATCATTTGGCCACATCATTGGAGATATACTGAGATGCGAAAATAAATAAAAATATTTTTGATGTGAAACATCTATAGCCACACGTAAAACCGATTTCTGGCGTGGCGACGCATGCCGTGGCGACGCGCCGCCACGCGATATGATGGTATATAATTATGCAGTAGTGTGTACGGTGTGGCGACGCGTCGCCATGCGCAATCGACTGTGCGATTCTCTCCCACTCGATCCGGCGTTAAGCCATCTCTATCGCTACACTGAGCTCGGATACCTATAGTGTATACTCCGTAGTGTATATAGTGTTGTTTACTACAGTACACATAACCTGTGTTTTACTTGAAAACAAATAATTTTTTCGTAATATTTTATTTTATTATTATGACATATTTAGTTCCTATCACAATCTGCTCTTTTCTTTTACAAAATAATGTTGATGTTTCACATCTGCCAGGCGTCTTGTGACGGCTCACATTTTTTTTTTGTGATCCACATCAACAAAGAGAAAATAATAAACACGTTACATACAGAAGCTACGCTAAATTTTAGAAGCGTAATGTAACTACTGACTTCGACTCTTGCATGAACATCTTTGCTTGACATTAAAATAATACTTTTAAATACTTTAATTGTGTATATTACTCAATATTCTATTTTATTTATTTTTATATCAAACTAGCGGCCCGCTCCGACTCCGCTTGGGTCTTTAACAAAAATATATTGACGATATTTGTCGTTGTTTTTTTTTTTTTAATAAAAGTACACTTATTGTGGCATAACTATAACAGTTAGACATATGCTGTCGCGACACTTTTTGTAAATAATAATGTGTTCTACAAAGCCATAGTGCATTATTTTAATCTATCGTCAATAGTTTTCGCAGGGCACGCGATGTAAAGAATATTTTAGGTAATTTTCTTACACCTTGGGTTACATTATTAGAGTTTTAGTAAGGATACCTAATTTAAAAAAAAAAAAGATTATAGCCTATGTCACTCGGGAATAGTTTAGCTTCAAAACAGTGAAAGATTTTTTCAAATCGGTTCAGTAGTTTCGGAGCCTATTCAATACAAACAAACGAACAAATTTTTCCTCTTTATAATATTAGTATAGACTAGCGACCCGCCCTTGCTTCGCTTCGGCAATATATTATATAGCTGAGACCCGCAATGTTACCCGCGGTTATTCTCGTACCGCGAGTGACGCTGCGGGGCAAAGCTAGACTAAAAAAAGTTACTCCTTATATAAATATTAAGCCTAAGTTACTCTTTATATCATCAGCTAGCTGTCAGTGAAAGTCTCTTCAAAATCGGTCCAGCCGTTCCAGAGTTTATCCGGAACAAACAGACAGACAGACCGACAAAAATTCATCCAATAACCTTTGCATTAGACGCCTTCAGCTCTAACACTAGGAGCAGGCTTAGGGACCTCGGTAACCGTACTCGTCGAACTCGACAAAGAGTTCGCCGTGCAACCTAACCCATGAATCAGCTCGCTGAGTTTCTCGCCGGATCTTCTCAGCGGGTCGCGATTCCGATCCGGTAGTTGATTCATTCGCGAAGCAGCTACTCTTGAGCTGTTAGGTCTCCTTCGGAGGCGCTCGGGTAGCTGTTAGCAAATCCCACCCCTCTTGGCTGAGCCTTTGCTCGCCCACCTGTCCTGGTGAAACTGGAAAGGCCTCCGGGCCACGAGTAATCCTTCAATCATAAAAAAAAAAATTTTAGGTGCGTGAGAGCAGACGTAGACACTAATGCGCATGCGCTCTTGTCAGTACCCAGGGAGGAAAAGTTACACTTTCTTCCCTGTACAGCGGGCAGAAAACCGAACTTTTGGCGTAGCTAGGAGAAAAATTTACTTCTAAACCTATACATTTCATTTAAAAAACGCTATATTAAACCGCATAAGTTCGGTTAAATTCATAAAAAAAAATTGGAACTGGAATGTAACAATAAAAACAGGGTGTAATTAACAAACATTTATTTAAAACATTAAAATTAGATAACACAATTGAAAACACTGTCTACTCAATGACACTTTCAGTTTTGTCTCTTTCGATCGCGTGAAAACTTAACTGAGCGTGACAAAGACAAATATACCTCTGAGGCGTTACGTTTAGAATTATAAGCTAGAGAAGTGTTCTCAAGCTTTGGATAAACCTAAATTAGTACAGAATCGGCCCTGGCACCCCACAACTGCAGACGCAGTTTCCGCTGATCGTCACAGATCCCGCCGCACAAGCCGGACCCTCGAACTCGACACAGCCGACCACTGGTAATTGTCCCGACACGACCGTGGTACCGCCAACCGGCAGCTCGCCAGCAATCGCCACGGTACCGACTCCGGTACCGCCATAGCCCCCGCAGCCGGGAGGGCCGTATCCAGGACCGCCGATGGGACCATTGTATCCGTTTACAATCGGGCCAGGATTGTAGCCGCCATAGCATTGGCTCAAAGCATTCTGTCATGGCAAAATCAACATTAATAACTTAAACACAATAGTGACAATAGTTCCTGACAAAAGTTCATGAACCTTTGACTTATTTATTAAAATTATTTTTATTTACGTGACAACGTCTTATAATTCTATGGAGCCGGCTGCACGCACGAAAAAACATGACTCATGTGGCGTTATCTCGCTCTGAGGCGTTCCATTTAAGGCTTGAAGTGCAAACGAAAGCGCGCAACAAGCGACAAAGAGGCACAATCGGCCTCCGCTTTCGGCAGCGTTCGACATCTGTCTCTCTCCTACTTGAGTGAGCGATGAATTGTATTTATGTTATGTTATACAAATAAATGTAACTTGATCAATTCAATAGTGATTTCCATTTACCTCCTTCTCTATATCCATACAAAATATCTATCAAACAAATAAAATTAAAAATTTCTTTTGAAAAATGAAACCATTCCATCAGTATATTCTTATGACGTTGTCACGTTCAACTATCGTCAGTAAACCGACTTTACAGACAACCGATATTTTATTTATTTATTTATTGTTAACATGGAAGTAGACAAACAATCATAATTTGCATCTGTGCTTGAATTAGGTCATAAAACCTGTATATCTCAAGCAGCAGTGTTCCTCTTACAAAGAATAAAACAGCTTTACTTCAGATACACAAAAATAGAAAATGACTAGACAAAAATTAAACTGAAATACATGGATTACACAAAAGTGACAATATTTTGAGTGAGATTAAAACATTACAATTAACAAAAAACATTGAAATCAGTGTATCAATGTACCCTCTGTGCATAATGAGTGAGTGTAAGAGGGAAAGGAACTTATAAAACTTTGGTGATGGCCAAATGAACCCATCAAATAAGTACCTATAATATTTTCGATAGCTTCTTGGGCTAGCCGGTAACGACCTAAAACCAGGTAGACAGACAATGTAGCGACAAAGATAAGTGGATACGGAAGACTGCGAAAGTGCGAATTAGTAAACATGATTTCCTAAACCCTTTTTTAATTTTATTGCTTAGATGGGTGGACGAGCTCACAGCCCACCTGGTGTTAAGTGGTTACTGGAGCCCATAGACATCTATGACGTAAATGCGCCACCCACCTTGAGATATAGGTTCTAAGGTCTCAAGTATAGACACAACGTGCAACTAACGTACAAGCGAACATCTAGGATTATAGGCATAGTAGCCAACACACTCTGGCTAAAAATTGACCCCAGTAGTGCAAGAAAACTCCTTAACATATACAGTACAGTATCCAAACTAGAAGTTGCCGTATTTCCAGAAGAGCACTATTAAAAACAGATTGGGATAAAGCAAATTGTATTTTTCAACACATTTGATAGGTTACTAGATAATAACCGAGGCTATAAAGACCGCGGAGTACAGGAAGACGTGGGGAAGGATAGTGCATCAAAGGATCAACACTTCAAACTAGACACGACCTTCAGCAATGAACAAACCGACTCAGTAGGAAAAGAAAAAGTCAATATCCCAATTAATTCTTTTATAACAAGAGTGACACGTCAACTTAGCGCCAAACTAAATGGCGATGATTTCCCAACATAATAAAAACACGATTAGTTTCTAAGATTTCCATAAAAGTGGCTACAAAAGTGGCATAGTAATTTTTATTGGTGTGGTTCATTTGCTTGACTTTTTGTTACCTATTTCTTGCATCTACATCTAATCTAATTCGTCTTGTTTGTAATAAATTAATAAATTCAAATTCGCGATTGAAGCATTTAACATTAAATCAATAAATACGACTCACTTGAACCAAACACGCTTGAACGACGAAGAGAAATATCGTGAAACTCGACATACTGATTAGATTTTACTAATGAACTACTAGGCTTCAATGAATAAATACCCTTTATATCGAATTCAATATCTACCAGAAAACGAAATCATTATTATTTGCAATGAATTATTATCAAATGCTCATTACATATCGATTACCGAGTATTGCAATTAATAAATACGTATTTCAGTGGCCCGATAAGGAACCTATAAATATTAAATGTGTGTTGTGGTGATTTTATTGTGCCGGGCAAAAGTTTAAGAAGTCGTAATGGACGGGAAAGCTGTCTTTGTCCTCAGCTTACAAGCTTTGTTTGTACAGGTAGGTTCTGAAAGCTGCGCAATGGGATATCAATAGGAAAACAGTCTACAAAGTAGTTGTAAAGGACGTTGATTTAACTAAATCCAATCAGTATGTTTGTGATATGTTAATTCTTTATATCTCTCTCACCATATAAAACTAATGATTTTAAGGTTAACTTATACTGATTATATTTTACTGGTGGTAGGACCTCTTGTGAGTCCGCGCGGGTGGGTACCACCACCCTGCCTATTTCTGACGTGAAGCAGTAATGCGTTTCGGTTTGAAGGGTGGGGCAGCCGTTGTAACTATACTTGAGACCTTAGAACTTGTATCTCAAGGTGGGTGGCGCATTTACGTTGTGGATGTCTATGGGCTCCAGTAACCACTTAACACCAGGTGGGCTGTGAGCTCGTCCACACATCTAAGCAATAAAAAAAAAAAAACATTGATGACAGTACATGACGTCACTTGTAGGTATTCGTTCTATTGTTAAAACTATGGTTAGATTATCTGGCAGAAATTCGAGCACCAAAGCTACATATATGAATTGTTTTAATTTGTAAACGTGTAATAATGGTGGTTTATTAACTGCTTAACATATTATGTGGCAGAGCATAAGCGTGAATATAATTATAATATTATGGCATAGCTTCTCGGCCACCCCGTAAATTTGTAACTAATGCCCTTTTCTAAGTCAGTATTTCACATTATTTCTCATCATTTCATCACATTTCATTTCGTTTCATCATAAGAATCTAACAATTATACTTATAACAAGAAGAAACTATGATTTATTTCATTTATTACCGCCAAAACTACCTGAGTAACAAATAGTTAGCAATGCAAATAAGCAAATGGTGGTATCCGATTCCATTTTGCTGAAAATGATGCTTGTAATGACATTTTTGTGTTTTAAGCATTGAGTTTTTTTTTAATGTCTTCATTTATAAACACATTCCAAGTTTTATTCAGCCATATTCCAAAAGCATTTTTCGAATTCAAACACTCGTAAATTCAATCAATTCTCTAAGTTCAGTTTGAAAATATCTTAATGTTACATTTTACTGTTGGTTACTCGATCTTGAAGTCAATCGTATTGTTTTTATTTACTCAATTAAATCATAGATTTTCCTTTGGGCTTCACCAATATTAGCTGTTATTTTTATGCTACAGATTCGCTGATACAAAATTCAGGGATTTTTTTTAACATTTTTTACATAAGTTTTATATAAGTTTATTTTTAACCCAAACAACAGGTCGATTAGGATATAAATTCCCAAAAGTAAGACTAATAGCATTGTTGCTATTAGTCTTACTTATGTTCAAGGGCATCCTCCACTTTATTAATAGGTAGGTTAATGTAATTGTTTAATGTATTATATTGTGAATAAATTTTTTTTCCTTACATTATTCGTTAGATTAGTTTTTGTTATTGTGTTGTTTTGTCATAATTGTAAGGAACATTATTATACAAATTCAGCACTATATGTCTTGTTTTGTCGTGCGCACATAACTTATGTTGCAAGCCAGATTTTGTTTCTTTTTATTTGTGTTTTTTTATGTATCTTTAGCTTGTGATGTGTATTGTGAGCCTAATAAAATAAATAAATAAAATTACTCATCGTTTACGGACAAACTTAGACGCTTTGGATTGTTGCTTTAAATGATTAATTCCTATTTGTTTCAGGTGGTAATGTGCATCGGCCCTTACAACCCAGTTTTCGACGACAGTTTTAACTGCTTCCCGTTTGGCGGCGTCCCACCTTTTGATACCGGTTTTGGCCCACTGGACGGTCCCTACCCTGGCTGTGGATTCGGGCCACTGGCTTCATCTATCATCGCTCCACCACCAGGCATAGCCGCAGGATACAACGGCCTACTGCCAATATCGGTTGCCCCACCCACACTCCCTCAAGCCAGCTTATCGGTTTTGTCAGAGAACGTAATCGAAGGTGTTGTGAAAGTTGTAGGACAGTTACCGTTTATTAGTTCGATAGCTATGTCCGGAGAGTTTCCTACCACCGGCACTGGAGAAGTAGCGTATGGGTGTGGCGATACAGCGGTGATCATCAATGAAGCACCAGGGATTGCGACTGTCTTAGATTATGCGCCTATACCTTACAATTTTGACGATGTAGGCTACAGAACACCAGGCTGCGGCTTTGGCCCGTACCATTAAGCCGGTAACTAGTTAGGTGTATTATTTTTATTTTGAATAAATGTTGTTAAAAAAATATTTCGTTGCATTCATTATTGTCAATATATTTATGGAGCTACTTTAAGTATATTGTAAAAACGTAATTTTAGTTTTAATTAAAGCTACTTATAAGTAGAAAATCTGTGTTAGCTCACCGCCAGTTGGCAGCGTTCCCAAAAGGCTGGCAGCATTTCCACGCTGGACAGCAATGGTGATTCTTTGTGCAAAATACGTACCGGCCTTCTGGTCTCCCGAGGATTCAAATAGTTTTTTTTAAGGTCCTTAAAAAACTTTTAGCAGATGGACCCCAGGGGCCCAAAGTTTCTACCCCAAATGGAACAAAAATGAAATCTTTAGAAGGATTTTCATATTTCCGCCGTTTGAGGCCCTCAGCCGTTGAAGCAGCGCTGCCAGCGTTAGAATTAGTCGCCAGAAGATGTGTCGGTGCCATGGTATCTACACAAGTCGCATCCCAAACGAGCGACCGACCCATCTTCCCTGGAAGATCGACATACCGTCTGGTCTCTTAACATCGCCTCGCACCAAACCATTCGGTTCTAGGTTGTGGAGGGCTTTGTGATTCGACTTTGAAGCGGGACTTAGAGTTTATGCATAACAAGTTGGCTTTGCTTCTGGCGTTGCTAATATCCATGGCCGATGGTAACTACACCGCGTTAGATATGTGCTGACTGCAAAAGGAATAAAGGAATTCAAAACTAGTTTATAGATTAGGCAAATTTAATTCGTACGTTATCGTGAAACAAATTTGTTTAATAATACTTAGAAAATCAATGCTAAATAAATTGAGCTCAAATGAATCTTTAAGCATTAGGTTGACTGGTGCAAGGATGTATTGTGACGTTGTAAATGTAGGCCAATTTTCAGTCTATTACTGCTAAAAAGAAGCGTTTCGGCTTGAAGCTGGTACATTAATTTTGTTGCCCAATAACATGAAGTGTTCGAGATATTTGAACATAATTGAAATTAAATATATATTTTGAAGTCATCGTGGCCTAAAGGATAAGACGTCCGTCCGGTGCATTCGTATCTAGCGATGCACGGGTGTTCGAATCCCGCAGGCGGGTACCAATTTTTCTAATGAAAATACATACTTAACAAATGTTCACGATTGACTTCCAAGGTGAAGGAATAACATTGTGTCATCATCATCATTAACAGCCCACAGTCGTCCACTGCTGGACATAGGCCTCTCCCAATCCACACCACGGAGCCCGGTCTGCGGCTCTCCTCATCCACTTCTTGCCGGCCACCGTGCGGGGGTCATCGCACCATCTAGCCAGGGGGTGTCCCACGTTACGTCTTCCGCTGCGCGGGCTCCACTCGAGAACCCGTCTTTTCCAGCGATCGTCAGTCTTACAGCATATATGGCCCGCCCACTGCCACTTCAGCTTGCTGATTCTTTGAGTTATGTCGATGACTTTAGTTCTCTGTCGAATAATCTCATTCCGGATTTTATCCTTCAGAGAAATTCCGAGCATGGCTCTTTCCATGGCTCGCTGAGCGACTTTGAGCTGATGGACCAACCGTACTGTGAGTGTCCACGTTTCGGCTCCGTAAGTCATTACCGGTAGGACGCACTGGTTAAAAACTTTCGTTGTCAGGCACTGTGGTATGTGCGATGAAAAAACTCCACGCAGTTTGCCGAACGCCGCCATAACATCGTGTAATGGAGAGCAAACCCGCAAAATTATAATTTGCATAATTACTGGCGTTAGAACCTCTTCTGAGTCCGGACGGGTAGGTACCAACCACCACCACCCCGCCCATTTCTGCCATGAAGCAGTAATGCTTTTCGGTTTGAAGGGTGGGGTAGTCATTGTAACTATACTGAGACCTTAGAACTTATATCTCAAGACGGGTGGCGCGTTACGTTGTAGATGTCTATGGGCTTCAGTAACCACTTAACACCAGGTGGGCTGTGAACTCGTCTACTCATCTAAGCAATAAAAAAATCTGGAGATGTGGTGCTGGAGAGGAATGTTTGGTATTTCACGAACGAATCTTCGCACCAATTTCTCCATTCTTCAAGAACTCGGCATTAAGCAGCGCCTGTCCGCGCTCGTACGTGGGTACATACTATTATTTTTTGGACATGTCTGCCGGTGAGGATATGACAACATAGAGTGCAAAATTAGGGGAAAGTAGAAGGCACCAGACCACGTGGAAGGTTGCCCATGTTTCCTTCTTCAAATGAGGCTTGTGGGGAGTATTAAGCGGTAGGCAGCGGCTTGGCTCTGCCCCTGGCTTTACTGAAGTTCACGGGCGACGGTAACCACTCACCACCAGGTGTGCCGTATGCTCGTCTGCCTACAAGGGCAATAAAAACAATCTACTGAAGAAAGAAAATTATCCTATCCATTCGACGGGGCAACGTCAAGCTGGTGTCGCCCGAAACATCTCTTGTCGGATCCCTCGAGTCCGTTCTTGGAGCTTTTCACCGCAAGCACCGATCACCGTCCTCGTCAAACTCGTCGATTATGATGAAGAGCTTGGCGACTAGCTCATAGACACAGCCCACTGAGTTTCTCGCCGGATCTTCTCATTGGGTTGCGATTCCGGTCCGGTGCTAGATTCTGCGAAGTACTGCTGTTGCTTAGGCTAGTGTTAGCAACTTCTCTCAGGCTGAGCCTGCGAACTCTTCTATTTGTCTGTACCCGTCGCGTAGCAGGAATAGCCCCTTAAGCTACCAAAAAGAAGGAAAATCAGATATGTAACCGTTTTGAATTTCTGGAGTGAATTCTGGAGGAAATAATTGAAATTTAATTTTATTTAAATGAAAAACACCGATGTTTATAAGTTTTGTTCTTCAAAATTAAATTTTTTTTGACCCTCCTTGAGAGTCTGGCCTAGGGTTTGACTCACCTTAGAGGCTTCTGTGGTCTCACCGGCTGGTATAAATAAGCTGGATGCCTATGCGGGCTTACAATATCCCCTACCAGTAAGTAAAGGCAGTGGTCAATCGTAGGTAGACTGGTGAAATATTCAAACAACGCTGCTGTGGTCTATGCCTTTAATGCGTATTCACAAACGACTCAAATACAGAGGGATATCATTTATATATATTTTTAAATTATATCTACATCATTAGTAATTAAAAAAATAGGATACAAATGTAATATATTTATTTACCAACAACAACACAAATGCAAATTCAACAAATAAAGTTATTACTAAATAAATGAAACAGGATTAGTAGAGACCGCATCCGCATCCGTACGGTCCGGGAGCGTTGAACTCATTCCACCCGTAGCCTCCTGCGTATCCAGGCCCGTAGCCTGGGCCGTAACCAGGAGCGGGAGCGATGGGAGCTTCATTCGTGATGCCAATGGCACCATCGCCGCAGCCATACAGAACAGTACCAACACCGTTCGTGCCAAATGTACCGTCGGTGGCCACAGCGCCCAAGAACGGCAGCTGACCAAACACATTAACGGTACCTTCGATGACATTCTCGGAGTTTACCGTGATTCCGGTTGGTGCGATTGGTGATATGCTGGTGACGGCTAGTCCACCGCCGTATGATGCCGCTAAGTTAGCGGGGTTGAGACCTCCACAGCCACCAGACCAGGGCGCGCCGAGACCATCGTATGGCCCAAATCCGTAGCCGTCGATGGGACCTAATCCGTCATAGCCCCAAGCTCCTATAGGGCCTGGGTACGCATCATAACCGATGCATTGGGATAACGACACCTGGAAAATAATATAATTTTACATTTAAGATGGATATTACTTTAATAAAGTGGAGGAACAGAAAATCTCATGTTCTAGATGACGAAGGAATACAACATTGCTTCTCAGAAAATAGGCAGAGCGTTAATACAAGCCTGGACGGGTTTATATTACAGTGATGGCAATATGCTGTGTTTAGATGAATACCCATAAGTTCAGGGGTTTATCAAATTTGTTGGTCGACATATCACATTTCCTTAACTATTGCAAAAGCAATTTACCTGAACGAAAAAGACCTGTGCGCAAAAAACCAGTAAAACTTTGGCGGCCATTTCAAAAATCTCGTATTCAACTAACAAAGGCGAATAATTTGCGAATGATACCAAAAAGGAAATGGCCCAGTTTATATACGAACGAAAAATGTTATAGAACTCGAATTGTGCAAGTTAAAAATTATGTAAAAGCCTGATATCGACATGGTTCTGATAAAGCGATGACATTATTAATATTTTTGCAACTGATAGTGATTTGGTAAAGGCGAGTTACGTATCGGGAACCTGGGCCGATATGTAGCAAGATCGATTTGCGAAGGCCTGATTTGCTCGCAGTTCGAAGACTTGTACATTAATAATAATAAAAATTCTTGTTGCTCACTTTCGATGCTTTCGTCCATGAAATATCCGATTCGTTTTAATACTTTGCAATGTTGATGGGAGTTTTTTTTTTCTACCTAGTTAGCCTTGGGAGGCTACGTCAGCGTAACCTAACAAGTAGGTGAGCTTACGGGGCTCAAACCTGATGACGTTGCTAATACTAACCTTAGCAGGAGCAGTGCTTTTCAGAATCTACCACTAGATCGGAAACGGGATACGCTGAGAAGATCCAGCGAGAAACTCGTCGCAAACGACAGGTTCGACCAGAACGATGACCGGTGCTTAAGGTACCTAAAAGCACCGTTGTTGATGGGACACTATCTCGTGTAATACCATAAACTCAAATCGACCATATTAAATATTATATAAATGATTTTTTGTGTGTGTGTGTTAGTGTTCTCGGCCTTCGCTTTTATTAGCATTAAATTGAAGCTTAAATTGGTTACCTTAAAGTTGACGTTTCAAAGATGCTTTTTGTTAATGAGCCATAAACATACTCATCGTGACCCAAGTGGGTTTAACAGGTGGGTAATTTTTTGACATTCAGCGAAATTGTCAATGGTCAATCAAGTCTTTAAATTTTGGGGTTTTTTCGTACAATTTTAAGGTCAAAATCTGTAGATTCGGCTTAGTGGTGCTATCAACGGCTATCTCTACTCCGTCATCTATAAATAATGGTAGTACTGTGAATACTACCTAATTATTTCCTACCACTGTGCTTGCTATATCTTCAGCGATTATTTCAGTTTGAGATACCCGGTGTTCCAATAAAATTGGTAATCGATAAAGACTGGTGCATCTGTTTTCACACGATAACCCCAATAATGCACAGAAACTTTTGTGTATGAGGGATTACTAGTGGCCCAGAGGCCTTTCCAGTTTCACCAGGACAAATGGGCGAGCAAAGGTTCAGTCTGGAGGGGTGGGATTTGCTAACAGCCACGCTGAGTGCCGGAGGAGACCTAATAACTCAAAGCTATTTCGCGAATGAACTACTACCGGATCGGAATCGCGATACGCTGAGAAGATCCGGCGAGAAACTCAGCGGGCTAAGCACAGAATCTCATTAGATACCACAGAAACCTTAACTAATACCTATTGAACTGACAAATCTAGGAACGAAAATTTGTGAATACTTTTATTGCTTAGATGGGTGGATGAGCTCAACGCTCACCTGTGGTTAAGTGGATACCGGACTCAGTAGACATCGACAACGTAAATGAGCCACCGATCTTCATACATGAGCTCTATGTTTCAGTTTTGTAATACTAAATGTTTGTATTAAGGCGAAACAGGCAGGTCGGTGGTACCTCTGCGGACTCCTCCTCCGTGCGTCGTGTTCCTCAGTGCTGAGGATCGTGACCCTTACGGAATACATACGCAAAGGTTTTCTTGGGAAAATTACTAGTGGTGGGTTCCCGCGTCCTTCCACAACAGAATTTCAGAGGCGATTTGGTTCCTCTGGGCTACTGAAGCCCTAGTTTAGTTGACCGCCGCCAGTTGCTCAGTAACTATACTGAGACCTTAGAACTTATATCTCAAGGTGGGTGGCGCATTAACGTTGTAGATGTCTATGGGCTCCAGTAACCACTTAACACCAGGTGGGCTGTGAGCTCGTCCACCCATCAAAGCAATAAAAAAAAAAAAAGTTGCTCGGCGTTATATTTTTACGGGTGGGCAGGTGGCATACCGACGCCATCCCGCCTCTTTTCTCATCCGGGCTCGGGACCGGCAATGGCAGAGTTAATAACAGATTCTGCGGACTCACAAAACGCTTTTAAGATATCTTCTTCTCACTCGTTATCTTCATTGCTAAAGGTCGTGTCTAGTTTGAAGTGTCGATCACTCGATGCACCATATGATCAGATAAGATAATTAAGTAACCAATATTTCTTACATTTGAAGCAATAAAATTTCTACCTCATATTTACAGGAATCTATATATTAATACGTGAAGCAAAAACTTTGTATCCCTTTTTACGAAAATTGCGCGGACGGAGGAGTATGAAATTTTCCACACTTGTAGAGAATATAGAGAAGAAGTGCACAAAGCTAATATTTTTTTTAAATAATGCATAAAAGATACATTAAATCAATAAAGAAAACATTACACACACTACATACCATGTATTTGACGCACACACGCATGCATACTATTTGTTGTCAAACTTTTGTTCCTGACGTCTGTTGTCAAATTGAGAATAGATTAAATATTGTTTGTCTTTGTTAATATTTTTTATAGTGTAGTCTTGACGAAATTTGTGATTATAGAAGTATAAAATACAATCATAATAGTGTACAAACTTACAATTCCAATTAATTATAGTCGAATTTCGACTACTGCGGGACCTCTAGTCGAATTAAGTTTCTCAAATTCCTATACGCGCAGTTTGCTTAAAAGACAGTCCAAATTTTGCTTATTGCCGTAAAGAATTCACGTAATAGATATAATATAATAGATAAGAGACATGCATTCCGTTCGTACAGTGGAAAAGAAAATTCGAATGTAGCAACGCTGATAAAATAGAATGCGGTCTTGTATAAAAGTAGCCGACTAGTTAATACAATTATAGTTCAATCAATTGGCTCTCGTACGCTTCACAATGACAACTAACGCTCTCTTCGTATGCGCTTTAGCACTCCTTCATCAGGTATGTCTTTAACCTTTCTTCAAACGAGGTTCATGGAGAGTAATTAACGGCAGCGCCTTAGCTCTGCCTATGGCGTTGCTGAAGTCTATGGGCGACGTTAGCCACTCACCACCAGATAGGCCCGTATGCTCGTCTGCCTACAAGGGCAATAAAATTAAAAGCCCAGTTAACGTTCTTCTTCCGAGTGGGTATTTTCATTTTTAAAGTCCGTCTCTAATCTGAAGACTCTATGATCACCCGTTGCATAACTGTTTTCTCTATCTTCAGCAAGCAGACTTTAGTGCTTCAGGCATGCCTGTGAGTGATGCTATCGGTTTTGACAAATGTGAGTCAAGTCACGTGGTCTTTGCTCGTCGACGTAACCTACCACTATCAGCTTAACTGGACCTCACAAATACCTAACTCAGAACAGAAATCGGAACGCATCATCGCATGCGACGTCGTCAACTTAGGATTTTTCGATGCGTTTCTTTCCGTACCTATTCTCTGGTAGCCAAAGGTGATATTCCAACTACGCGCTGACGGGAGATGATGTGTAAATTCAATGACAGACATCGGTGACAATTTTTGAAAAAGACTGACCAGATATATTTAAAGCCGATCACAAAGCAAAGTATTCCGAAGGTAAGCCATCGAAGAAATGAAAATTCCCGATGATTGCTTCTTGGCAGAAGCGGGACGGTGCTACCGTTAATGATCAATATAAGGATTAGGTATATAAAGTATATCAAGATAGGCATTACAGGAGATGTTGAAGGACACTGTAACTGCGGATGAAGAGAAAGGAATAGTAGGTTGAAATATGATTTCATAACACAAGTTCATCCGAATCTGATTAAAAACACTGTTTTGTTTTTGTTCACAGTCTGCTGTCAGTCAATATCTGAGTCGCGTCGGCTGTGGTTGTGGAGGGGTTGGCAATGGCTTGGGCTACGGTGGTATCGGCTACAACGGCTATGCCGGTAACGACATCGGCGCTGCTGGAGCTCTAGGAGCTTCCAATGGAGGGTGTCTCAACGTCATCAGCTCCTCTGCCGCTCCAACTAGTCTAGGTGTAGCCTCTGAGAATTCCTACGAGGGCACTGTCGGTGTCTGCGGCAATCTGCCCCTCCTGGGTACTGCAGTCGTCACCGGCGAGTTCCCTACTGGTGGTCTTGGTGGTATTAACTACGGCTGCGGTAATGGCGCCGTTGGGATCACCGCTGAAGATCGCGCCGGGATCGGCTACGCCGGCGGCCTCGGCTACGGATCTGGTTACGGACTCGGCTACGGAGGCTACGCCGGCAATGGATGTGGATGTGGTGGCGCCTACTAAATGTTAGAATATATATAAAAAAAAACTTTTTTTTTAATAAATTCTTTGTGAAAAAATATTCTTAATGAATTTTAATAATATTAGTGATTTAAGATCAAATGCTTTTTATTTTAGATGGTTTGATATAAATGGGAAACAATATTATTCAATTGCTAGGATCTACAGAATTAGCTTTGTAGTCGTCGTGGCCTAAAGGATAAGACGTCCGGTGCATTCGTATCGAGCGATGCACTGGTGTTCGAATCTCGCTGGCGGGTACCAATTTTTCTAATGAAATGCGTACTCAACAAATGTTCACGATTGACTTCCACGGTGAAGGAATAACATCGTGCAATAAAAATCAAACCCGCAAAATTATAATTTGCGTAATTACTGGTGGTAGGACCTCTTGTGAGTCCGCACGGGTAGGTACCACCGCCCCGCCTATTTCTGCCGTGAAGCAGTAATGCGTTTCGGTTTGAAGGGTGGGGCAGCCGTTGAGACNATACGTACTCAACAAATGTTCACGATTGACTTCCACGGTGAAGGAATAACATCGTGCAATAAAAATCAAACCCGCAAAATTATAATTTGCGTAATTACTGGTGGTAGGACCTCTTGTGAGTCCGCACGGGTAGGTACCACCGCCCCGCCTATTTCTGCCGTGAAGCAGTAATGCGTTTCGGTTTGAAGGGTGGGGCAGCCGTTGACTATACTGAGACCTAAGAACTATA